CCGGTCCTGCTTGTCTTGAATGGCAATTTTGACTGCTTCCTCGCAGCTAATCGGGTTGACGTTTGTACAGAAGCTCGTGACTGTGGAGATCTGCATTTTGCCTTGCGTTCTGCACGCTGCCGGCTACCACTACCTGCACAAGATTAACATTACTAACTTTGCACCATCAAATAACCCTGACTCACAGTAACCATAGAAAATGAAAATTCACAAACATACAACGATACCTTTCATAATACAAAATTAATACAATCAACTAGCAGAACTAATTTCCAATTACGTTTGACATAGCAAGAATACAAGATTTGTTAGGATTTTATTTCGTAACCCAACTACCTACCAACTCCTATGTCATATCGCATTACCACGTCACCACATCCCACATACATCATTCTGGGACCCCCCATTTAATTCTACAACCCAATGTAATTCAATTAATTTTGAAATTTATAATAACAGTGACAAAAGGTTTGGTCCATCACCTACAATGTAAACACATAATTGGCTGGGAAAGATTAGGTGAGGGACATACTGGTACAATGTTTCCCCAACCCAACACACTGGTCCACCGTTAACATTGCCACTTCACTACTGTAACACAAACCAATTTACCCATTTCACCAAACAACTACAAACAAATTAAATTATTCGGGTGAACAACACTAGAATGGGTTATAACTTATTATGAATCTCCACCGGATCTCTAACCACAGTTCAATACTGAACATTACGTACTATTACCAATGCGATTTCTGCCCAACAAAACATAATGTCCCACCTACAACATTGCCATTACAACATTGGGACAAAAAAAATATTCGGCCGTTCGCGAACATCACTTCGACTAACTTCGCCAACAATTCCGTGGGACCACGTATAATAACATCAAACAAAACGACAAGATGTATACAACATCACACCGTAAGTTACATACCTGTCGCCATTTGTTTCCGAGGGGATTAACAGCGCCAAAGCTCTATTTCTGTCGCATTCTACGCCAACGACGGTTCTTCACGAAGTTCCCACACAAACTGTGATGTTGCCAACACCGTATTTCCACGATTTCGGTTTTGAACAAACTAGGGTTTCACTCGGCAATCAAATGTCAAACCAGGAAATCACAACAACAACCCAAATCTGAATAACTACTCTCTGTAATCTCGGATTCGGAATCGCTTCAACATCGGCAACACGGTCCCACTCCAAAAACTACCTCCCAAATTCACTCACACTACAACGTTTGGATGTTGCCCTCTTTGGTAAATTCAACAAAAAATAATGCCCCTTATTTACCCCTTCCTTCAACACACGTATTCCACAACGCAGGGGCTAAAACGTCTTTAACATTGGAATGGGACCTATTAGTGTTTTAAAATAAACATAGGACTAAATGGTGTAACATTTACTAACTTAGGACTCATTGGTGTTTTGCCCTAATTTTTTTAAGGTGACATGTAAAAGAAATTAAAAAAAAATTAAATGAAATGACCAAATTAAATTTAAACGTAAAGTGTAGTGACCAACTTGCTCAATTTAAAATTACAGATATTAAAATGAAGTTTGTATCTAACTACATAATGAAAAATGTAATTAACTCAAAAAAATTCCAAAAAATTGATTATTTTTATTTTTTCTAAACTATTTTAAAAATATATAATTTTTATTTTTAATTTTTAGAATGAATTTAAAATGAAAAGTAAACCAAACCAAACCAAACCAAGTCTTAAGTCCCATCAAATGGGATCGGCTACATGAATCCTTCTTCTCCACGCGACCCTATCAAAAGCTATTTCATTAGTCAAATTAAGTAAATTCATATCTCTATTTATAACGCTAGTCAACGTTAATCTAGGCCTACCTCGTCCCCTAACACTTCCATCTACCGTTACAGCATCGCATCTCTTCACTACTGCCTCTGTTGGTCTCCGTTGAATATGACCAAACCATCTCAAACGATTCTCTCTCAATTTATCTTCTATCGGTGCTACTCCTACTCATTCCCGAATACACTAATTCCTAATCCTGTCATGTCTAGTCTTACCACACATCCACCTTACAATCTTCATCTCAGCCACACTCATCTTATCTATATGATGTTTCTTGGTTGCCCAACACTCCGTCCCATACAACATAGCTGGTCTAATAGCCGTTCTATAAAACTTACATTTTAGTTTAGTGGGTATTCGTTTATCGCACAATACCCCAGACGCACTTCTCCACTTACACCATCCCGCCTTAATCCTATGGGCCACATCTGCATCAATCTCTCCCGCTGTTGTGATAATCGACCCTAAATAACAAAAATGTTCACTCTTAGGCAATTATTGGTTCTCAATCTTCACTTCTCCTCTGCTTTCATTGTTACTGTTACTAAATTTACACTCCATGTATTCTGTCTTAGTTCTGCTTATCCGGAATCCTTTAGATTCAAGAGCTTTTCTCCAGATCTCCAACTTTGTGTTAACTCCTTCTCTAGTCTCATCCACTAACACAATATCGTCTGCAAAAAGCATACACCATGGCACGTCATCCTGAATATTTATCGTCAACTCGTCCATAACTAAAGAAAAAAGATAAGGACTTAAGGTAGATCCTTGGTGTAACCCTACAGTGATAGGAAATTCATTTGTTTCTCCAGCTGGCGATCTATACCCACCATATTATATCTCGGGGCACTCTGTCATATGCTTTCTCAAGGTCGATAAACACCATATGAATGTCTCTTTTCTTTTCTTTATACTTTTCTATTACTCTCCTCAAAAGATAGATCGCTTCTATTGTTGACCTACCAGACATAAACCCAAATTGATTCTCTGACACCTCTGTTATGTCTCGTAATCGGCGTTCCATCACCCTCTCCCACACTTTCATTATATGACATATTAGCTTGATTCCTCTATAGTTGTTACAATTCTGGACATCACTTTTATTCTTATAGATTGGCACTAAAATATTCTTCCTCTACTCATCTGGCATGTTCCTAGTCAACAAAATTTTGCTAAACAACCTAGTCAACCAAGCAACTCCCTTTTTACCCAAACACTTCCAAGCTTCAATAGGGATATCATCAGGTCCTAAAGCCTTATTTGATTTCATTTTCTTAAGTGCAATCTCCACTTCAAAGTTCATAATCCTACAATAGAACCTATAATCTTGGTTTATCGTATTACTGGCTATTTCTTCCCCTAGTGTCGTACTTCCATATTCCTCATTTAACAGTTTCTCAAAATAATTCTTCCATCTTTCCTTAATCTCATCATCCTTTACCAATACCTTAAAATCCTCACTCTTGATGCACTTTATTTGATTAAAATCTCTTGTTTTCCTTTCCCGTATCTTAGTAAGTTTGTATACCCTTTTCTTTCCGTCCTTACTATCTAGTCTAGTGTATAGGTCATCATAAACTTTCAACTTAGTCTCTCTCACTACTTTCTTGACCTCCTTATTAGCCAATCTATAGCTCTTAAGGTTTTCCTCAGTTCTATCCTTCTGCCACTTTTTAAAGCACTCTTTTTTTTGCCTTAACTACCGCTTGAATCTCTTCTCTCCACCACCTAGTTTCTCTAGAGCTGGGTCCTGTTCCTTTCGACTCTCTAAGCACTTCCCTTGAGATTCTCCTCATACAATTGGTCATCGAATTCCACATAGTGTTAGCATCACCTTCTACGTCCCAAGTACCTTCCTTATCCATTCGATTCTTAAATATTTCTAGTTTATCCCCTTTTAGGTCCCACCATCTCATCCTACGATGCCTACTGTCCTTCCTAGCTTGGTATTACCCTCTAAAACATAAATCTAGTACCAAAATCCTATGTTGAGAGACCGGACTCTCTCTAGGAATCGCCTTACAATCATTGCATTTTAGGCAGTCCACTTTTCTCACTAAGAAATAATCTATTCGGCTCTTAACTAATCCACTCTTAAAGGTTATCAAATGTTCCTCCCTCTTCTTATATATAGTATTGGCCACCACCAGGTTAGAAGCCAACGCAAAATTTAAGATTCTCTCTCCAGCCTCATTTCTGTCACCAAAATCGTATCCACCATGCACCCTTTCATAACCTAGTTTATCTATGCCCACATGGCCATTAAAATCTCCACCTATAACCAGGTTCTCTCCTACGGGTATCTCCTGTAAGATCTCATCCATTTGCTCCCAAAAGTTCCTCTTAGTCTGATCATCTAACCCTACTTGAGGGGTGTAAGCGCTAATAATGTTCACTATATTTCCTCCAATAAATAGTTTAACTAGTATAATCCTATCTCATTTCCTAGTGACCGCCGCCACACTTTCCACAAGACCCTTGGCAATTATGATTCTTACCCCATTCCTGCGTCTATCCTTACCACTATAATAAAGTTTAAAACCAGTATCCTCAATTTCCCTAGCTTTCTCTCCCGTCTACTTAGTTTCTTTTATGCAAGCTATACTAACTCTCATCCTAATCATAACATCTACCAATTCCATCGTCCTACCAGTTAAGGTTCCTATGTTCCAAGTGGCTATCCTAAACCTATAGTTTTGGACTAGCTTCTTTACCCGCGCTCGTCTAGAAAAACGCAGAAACCTTTGCCCATTTTTCACCGCACTCAGGCGTCGATGCGGCGCCCCTTACTCACTTTTCGAAACACCCGGAGGCAGACGCAACGCGTCACTTGAGGAGAACGACCTAGCATTTAAACGATTCAAAGTAGGATTCATTTTCATAAGGGATCCGAGCGACTTTTTTACGTGTTGGCTGTTGGCTATCGGCTACCTAAAAAATAGAATACTACAGTCTGAAAAATATTATCCAAAAATATCAATCTATGATTTAATTCAATTGTCACTGCATTAATTTAGCATTTTTCTTTAAAAAATTGACAAAACCAAAATAAGATGAAAATGAAAAAAAGAAAAAAAAAAAAGAAAAAGGAGTGAAGATAAGAATGAAGTGTGAACCAACCAAAATATGTTTAACCGCAAAAAGACAAAAAAACACAAACAAATACCATTCGTCTGTTGGTTCGTTGCTCAACTCAACTCAATCAAACAACCCCCAAATTTCCTCTAAACTTGAAATCATTTTCTTCTTCTTCTTCTCCTACTGTTGTATATATATAGATATACGCATAAATGGAGAGAGAAGGCATGGTAGATGAACAAACATCGATTCCTCTGCTTATCAGAGAAAACCCAGATCATGTTGCTTCATCCTCTTCTTCTGCCACACCTATGCTTCTACTCACCACTTTCATCGCTGTCTCTGGTTCTTATGTTTTTGGCTCTGCTGTAAGTTCAAAAAATTGCTATGATTTCTAAAATTCAGCAATTAAGCATACAATAAGATGAATTGACTTAGGCTTAGGCTGTATTTGGATCGTGGATTTGAGTAGGATTTTTTTGGACCCAAATGCTGGAATCATTTAATCAGATGGCAAATACTACACTAATGCTTGATGTTTGATGTTTGATGTTTTGATATGCCAGGTGGGATTTTCATCGCCTGCTCAGTCTGGAATCATGGATGACCTTGGCCTCTCTTTGGCACAGGTTAGTCTTAAAATTGGCTGTTACTGGTTATATAACTTGTGGGTGTTTCATAAAATCATGATACACGATAATTTATTGGTATTTTTTTAAATTTAAGCTCCACGTTATATATAATTTGGGCCATAGATTCTCCAATTTACCATGATGTACAATTAATATCTGAGGCTGGAAAATATTAGTTGTGGCTTGTTATTAATGTTTAACTAATGTCACACAAACTGTAAACTTTTAGGCTGAGGAGCTCTCTTGTTAGTTTTATGTATTGTTGGGAGACAGTCACAGGAGTTGTTAACTTGTCCCTTGACCAATTTTCGGGTTTGTTTAAAGCCTTTTTGTTTTTGCGTGCGAGGTTAGGGTTGTTTCGTTTTGGTTTGTTAACTTGTTCTCCCCCCCCCTAGTCGCCAAACATATTGTTATTGAATTGTTGATAATTTACTCTTTGCATTCAAATAATTACATGTGCAATTTATTGATGGAGAAGTCTCATTATTGTTGAAGTACAGTAGAGTTAATTGTCTATTAAAATGCTTCAAGTGAAGTAGAATTCATGACTATTTTTTCTGCCTGGTAGTTTTTTTTTTCATATCTCTATGTGACTTAGTAAACTTTTTTTCCTCTCTCTCTCTCTCTCTCTCTCCTCTTGGTGCTATTTTGCAGTATTCAGTTTTCGGTTCAATAATGACTATTGGAGCAATGGTGGGTGCAGTAATGAGTGGGAAGCTAGCAGATCTCTTTGGCCGGAGGGGTGTAAGTTTTCCTTTTACTTTGTGGAGTGTAGTTATCATTAGGCATGGAAAAAAACCCTTTAATTAGTGGGCCGATTATTGGATTATTGTTAACTTTGTTACTTATCAAAAAAAAATTATTGTTAATTTTATTTGTTTCTGATGTAGACAATGGGATTCTCAGAGATATTCTGCATCATAGGGTGGCTTGCAATAGTATTATCAGAGGTTTCTTGTCTTTTCCACATCATATTCTCCTCAGCTTTCTTTTAATTGATTTATGCATCATTTGATTCCAATGAAGAATTTTAAAGCTTCTAGTTTCAAATTTTGATGGACACATGGAATGCAGCATCAGATTGTAGAGAAATCAACTTCATGAACAACGACATCATATTATACTTCACAAGATTGCTTCCAAATTAAATCATTCATATTTAATTTTTTATTGGAAGTTAAGTTCTCATTCTCTATTCACTAGCTTCTATTTTACTGGATGTTCCCAACGTACTATTCATTGGCTTCTATGAAAAGAAGATTTTTTAAATAGGATATTGGTAATCTTTGTTACCATTGAGCCTTTCATTTTGTGTGTTGATAATCCTCTGGGCCGTATGCATTGTAGAAAGGGGGATTTGGTGATAGCCCCCTCACTATCTAATTTGTCTTTCAAAAGGACAAGAATTATATAAGTACTTTCAAAACCCCTAATATTTTAAAACTTGTTTCTTTTACTATATTACCCTCATATCTATCAGCTCTCCTATTAAGTCATCTTCACTATATATTTCAAAGTAAAATTTTACTCTGTATGAAAGTAAAATTTTACTCTGAATAAGAGTAAAATGTTACACTCTGAAACTAAAAGTAAAATTTTACTCTATATAAAAGTAAAATTTTACTCTGAAAAACTAGTGAAATGTTAGACTCTACACAAAAGTAAAATTTTACTTTGTATAAAAGTAAAATTTTACTCTGATTCTGTCAATGAAAAAAACAGAGCAAAATGAAATTAGATAAAAAACAACAAAAATAAATCCGAAATCAGATCAAACACAACAAAAATAAATAAAAAAAAAACAAACAAACAAAAACAAAATAAATTAATCAACAAATCAACATATCTAATTGAGAAGAAATACTTCTAAAACTTCATCAACAATCACAAATCTCAATGAAAATAATACATGTGTTCAACAACACTCATACACACAAATATATATATATATATATTCAAAACTTAAATCATCCTCTTTTCCATTGGAGTAGATTCCAAATGCAGTAGTGAACAACAACAATGCAACGCATTAGCTTCATATTACGTTTGGGACTGATCGAATCTCACATACATATCCAAATTACTTTCCTCTTCACTATCCCAAATCCAAATCTACAATCCTCAAATCACCAATCCAGACTCTGTTTAGCGTGATTCTAGAGTCAATGTCCCCTTCTTATGTGCTTGCATTGGCAAACTAGGGTTTCTAGGTCACGAGTTCGTTTACGAGGTCCACTCGGAGGAGACCTACAAATTGATTGCTGAGAAGAACTATGCGAGTCTCACTACTGTTGAGATGTTGCAGAGATTTAACTGGAAGCTCTTTAGACTGCACACGCAGCTCGGTCGTGAACGGCCTCCGCAAAAAACTGAACAATTCGATGAATTGTTTCACAGATATCCGGCAATTAATCACGGCTGAGTACAAAGAGACAGTTGAACGACGATACTACACAGTGACAGATGAAAAGGCGGATGAATCGACGATCGATCGGTTGATTGCGACGGGAGAGAGTGAGATGTTTTTGCAGAAGGCGATTCAGGAGCAAGGGAGAGGGAGAGTGATGGAGATGACAATGGAGATTCAAGAGAGGCTGTAGAAAGTATAATTTTAAATAATAAATCATAATTTAGTTGAGGGTATAATAGTCTAATAAAATATTTAAATAATAAATTTTGTCCTTTATGCAAGATTTTATAATTATGAGGGGGTTTAAAAAGTATAATTTTTTTCTTAATCCTTTTAACAATGAAAGAAAGATAAAGGGGGTTTATAGCTAAATTTCCCTTGTAGAAAATGCTTTTTGAAAGTTGTTCTCCTTGTAAATTTAATTGGAATTTAGGTTACACAATTAAACATAGGTATGCGTCTAGGTAGTTGTACATTTATATTTTCTAGATTCAGTACATTTAATTGTTCAATGATTTTCTCAGCGTGCTTGGAGCCTCGACCTTGGAAGACTATCTCTGGGATATGGAATTGGGCTTCTTTCATATGTGGTAAATACTTTAGAGTTGTATTTCATATTTGATATTCTTTTTAGGATAAATTACACTGACCTCCCTTGAGGTTTGGAGAAAATACAACAAGTCCCATAATTTTGGCATAATTACATTGGGTTCCCTTAGGGTTGTAATTCAAATAATACTTAGCCCCATTTTCATCAATATTTCGTTAGTTATATGGATGGAAAATGATGTCGTCATATTTTTTACACTTGAATATATATATATATTTTTTCTTGTTTATCCTTATATTTTCACACCATTTGCATTAGTTTTGGTACCTTTAGTAACGAGGTTGATGTAATTATGGCAAAACTATGGGCCTTGCTATCTTTTCTCCAAACCTCATGGGAGGTCAGTGTAATTTACCCTACTTTGTAATATGACAGTTGACGGTGTTTGCATTTTGAATTCTAAACAGGTACCAGTATATGTAGCAGAAACAACACCAAAGAATCTTCGAGGAGCATTCACAGCGGTTAATCAGGTAATGCAGAACTGTTATAAATTTGGAGCTTTATACATTCATGTCATGCACACTTATCTTTCTGATTCTACAGTTCATGATATGTTGCGGTGTATCAATAATGTATCTCATTGGAACTGTCATCAACTGGCGTATCTTGGCTGCAATTGGTAACTTTCTTTTTCTTACTGTTTTAATTTTATCTTAGGGTACTTCTGTATAATTGCTTCTAATTGATATCATTTCAGGAGTTATTCCGTGTTTAATACAACTTGTGGGTCTATTCTTCATTCCGGAGTCTCCTAGGTGGTTGGTGAGTTAATTTAAAATTTAGTCAGCAGTAGATGTTTAGATGTTGGTTTCGTGCTATGTTGCATGGACTCTTCAGGTTTGTTGAAGTATCTTGTCGACACGACACAACATGGGTATGGATACTAAAACGGATCGAAACCTTCTGTTTTGAAACAGATACTACTACTTAGTTTTTCTTTTATTTATTAGAGGAAAAAAAATTATGGAGTAAAATCATTGCTAATATAATAAAATTAAAGTCACCGTATATTATATGATATATCATGAATAGAATTAACTTTTACATATATAAATTTTCCCCCCCTCAATTAGAGGACATATCCCTGTACTGGTTACTAGTTTTTGGAACCTTCTTTGCCAAGTTCGCATATCCTAAAATTTGGATCACCCGAGTCCATGTACCATAGCTTTTGTGGTAAAAAAAATTGGGTACTCTCTAATTTCTTTGTTGTTGCTTTCACTGGACATGTTTAAATAAAAAAAATATGGTATAGTCACATTTAAGGACTACAGTTACTGCACATCTCCGTGTGAGATCATGTGAAAAATTGAACAAAAGCACATATTGACATGCTCGATGATGGTATTACTCTCTGCAGGCAAAGAATTCTCGGTGGTTAGATTGTGAAGCTGCATTACAGCGCCTTAGGGGAAAGAAAGCAAATATTTCCGAAGAAGCTACTGAAATTAGAGTATCTTCTTGACCTCATTGATTCATTAAAAGTGAAACTTTCTTTTTCCATTAGTTCTTCCTTTTTGCTGGTAAATTTTCCAGTTTAATGAACTGAGTTTTAATTTAACAATCTTTTGTTTACTTTTTTCCGATGTTCTAGAGAAATATGACCAACTTAGGCTATCTGACAGGTTTATACAGAAACCCTTCAACAGTTCTCGGAAGCTAAAATATTTGATTTGTTCCAGCGGAAATATGCTCACTCCCTCATTGTGAGCCTTCTAAAAAGCCTAGCTTCTGTCATGTCCCCTTTTTCATGACTTGGAAGATCATATTATGAACTGCTCATTTTTATATAGGTTGGAGTTGGACTTATGGTATTGCAACAATTTGGAGGGGTCAATGGGATTGCATACTATGCGAGTGCTATTTTCGAATCAGCTGGTGAGTAAAACCACTTAGACAATAGTTCCTATCTAAGAAGCATGGACACTTTTCAGAAGGTGGCGTGTCAGTGTCTGACACTTCTTGGACACTTTCTCTTGGACATGTGTCTGACGCAACAAGACACTTCTCAAAAGCTTTCTCTCAAACATACGTCCAAACATGTCGAACTAATTTTAAAAAAATCACGCTTTGGACACTTGTAGAACACATTTTTATTGTTTAGACACGCATGAAACACATTACAAATTTGAAGAAAATAATTTGAAATTTAATGATTAAAAAAAAAACATAAATTTATAGATATTTGGACTTTATTATCTTGACATATAATCATTGTTTATCCTTATATATGTCATATATAAATATATAAACTATATATTTTGTGCGTGTCCTCTACAAGTCATGTCCTACATTTTTTGAAAATTTGCATGCCGGTGTGTCTGTGTCCATACTTCTTAAATTTCTATTACTAATGGGAAGGACAATGAAGAGAAACCAAATATATGTGTTTGGTCTGATGTAGGCTTTTCAAGCAGAATTGGGACTATAGGGATGGTGGTGGTTCAGGTTTTTGGACTCTCTACCTGTGATTTTATTTGGCAATTCTTCTTGGCACATTCATGAGATATTGTAGATGTTCTTCTTCAGGTTCCTATGACGTTGGTCGGTGTCCTCTTAATGGATAAATCTGGACGAAGACCGCTCCTAATGGTATGAGGGAAGCTGCTTTTGTAAGTTTGAAAGTTAAATGTTTTTGCACAAAAAGCCCACATGAAATTCTACCTTATTTAACAGATTTCTGCAGCGGGAACATGCTTGGGCTGCTTCCTCATTGGATTGTCATTCCTGTTGCAGGTTTCTTCTAGCACTAATCTAATTTTTTTGTTTTGCTTATTGTTTCTTAATTAAGTATGGTCATTTCAATAAGAAGTGAACTCTTAAGAACAGGCCCTTGAATTGTGGAAGGAAGTCACTCCAATCTTCGCACTGGTTGGTGTACTGGTAATGCAATTTGACCCTCCAGCACTCATTTATCTTTCTGTTAATTATATATATATATATTGTTTTTGTAGATAAAAGGGCAGGTTGGGTGACCAATATGTGACAACCTCCCCTAAGTGTAACCTAAGTCACCGAATTTGTGTCCCAGGGTCCATGCTCCCGCACTAAAGTTGTGAATTCACGAATTTGCCCCAAACTTGGGGTAAATTTGCAAATTACTTACGGAGAGTTTGCGAATTGCGTTGATAATGGGAAGAATTCATAATTTATGGTAACTTTTGGATCTTACTCCACTAATGCCTAAGCGCATCTCACCTATGCAGTGTCTCATCACCATGCCAACGTTAGACCTGCTAGCCTATGGTGTTAAAAACATTTATATACATAAGTGAAAGGTGAAAAAAATATAAATATTTTTGCTATATATATTCTTATTATAGTTTAAATTTTTTTAAAAAATAAATATATTAATAAGTAAGATACAAAAATGCTTAATAATAAAAACGTTTAATAATATTAAAATTATATAATAAAGATGCTCTCAATTCTATGAATATTTTCAAAGATGCTGCTCTTGCTCTCGCTCCGACTCCCGCCTAATGAACTGGTGACTTAGGGTGTGAGCACAGAAACCTTAGGAGCCTACCTGTTAGGTAATCAGACAGGAGGGGCCTAAATTCGTGCACAAACACACGGATCTGTGCTGCTCTCTCGAGATTGGCTTGAGCCATAGCCAGGCCCCAACCCTACCGAGGCATAGTCGCAAGGAGGACATGAGTCTTGCACCTTTAGTGCATGATTTAAAAAGACCTGTTAATTGAACTTTGAAGCTTTTTGGTTGTATTGTCTTGTAAATTCGATTTCCTTGCTGTTTCTCTATTGATGAAATGCGGATTTTGCGGAAAGAAAGTACCCTAGGTTGTATGCTTATTGTCTTCTTTTCTTTCTATTGAATTTTCGTACAATGGGGGCTCTATTAATGCATATTTGAAATGATTTCATTCTTAGAAGAGCATGATTGGTGCTCTTGCAAGCGATTGTTTTACCCAATGCTTTGGGACATAATTTTGTATATTTTAGCTGAAATTCTTATAGGTAAATGGATGGAGTTGAATTCTATGTTTTGATGTAGTTGAATCTGCAATCAGGTGTTTACAGGATCTTTCTCTCTAGGCATGGGGGGAATTCCTTGGGTTATAATGTCAGAGGTAAGTACTTTAAAACCTCATTTGGTTGGCAACGTTAAGCCAATTTTTTTTTTTTTTTGTTACATGTCCCAAAAAAAAAAAAAAAACTAGTTTGTTTGGCACACTCTTAGTTTGTGACTTTCCTGATCGGTTTTTTAGGAAACCATGTTTGGCAACATTGCTAGTTTTTTGATTTTTTAATGCAAGTCAAAAAAATTAAAAAAATAAAAACTTGGCCTAAAAAAAATAATGTGCCCTCACTTAGAATACATTCTCATGAATGATATTCTATCAATGCGCTGCACAAATCAAGGAGAAAGAGGCAAAAAATGGGCTTCTTATTGTCTTTTATCGGCCAAATGAAGCGATTTTTTGATTTTGGCGCTAAGAAAGCCAAAAAACTGAGCTTAATGCTAAGCGGCCAGATGAGGCTAATTGAGCTGGAGTTCTACATCATTATAATGGATATCTTAAATTGAGATCCAAATATAATGAATATTTTGACCTCAAACTGAAAAGGAATTTTTTTTTAATTATTATAAATTTCAGATATTTCCTATTAACATGAAAGGCTTGGCTGGAAGCCTTGTAACGGTGGTTAACTGGCTCGGGTCTTGGATTGTTTCATATGCCTTCAACTTCTTAATGGACTGGAGCTCAGAAGGTAAACCTAATTCATTTCCCTTAAATCTCTCTCCAGATTTCTCATGCATATTCTGCAGTATACGACAATTTTTGTTTTGCCTCTCAGGAACATTTTTCACATTCTCAATCGTATGTGGTTTAACTGTCCTGTTCGTTGCGAAGCTGGTTCCAGAGACGAAAGGTCGGACTCTGGAAGAATTCAAGCATCGATGAATCCATTTACTGCAAAGAGATAGGCTTGGCAGGCCTGTAAAAGAGTAACATACATGTTCTGCAATTTCATCGATTGATCATGGATGGATAGGTAAATTGTGATTTAACTTCAAGGATTGACAACCGGTTTTCACCAAATTACACAATTGGCAGTCATAACCTAAACTCTAACTTGTGTCTAATGATTGATTGATCTATTTTGAATCTGCTTTCCTCATTATTGAACTTAAGCCATTCTCAGAAGAGGTTGGTATGTTGTCTATTTGTGGGCCTTCTCGCCGGTGTGTTACTAAATCTTTATAACTTTGATTGGGCATTCATCAATTGTTTTCCACATTTTGCTTTTGTTTGATTCCTTCATGATGTCTATTATGTGAAAAGTTTGTCATTGTCATAACTTCAATTATCATTGGGTAAATTACACATACACCCCCTGAGGTTTGGATTTAATACATATCATTCTCTGACATTTGGGAAATTACACTAACCCCTCTGTCATTGTAATTATTTAGACGGAATGAAGATATTGAACTCATGCACTCTTTTTTTTTTTGCTTTGCTTTACTTTCTCTTTTTTTTCCCCTTTCCTTTACTTTTTTTTTTAATGTAATTTTCTCTGTTTTTCTACTAGGAGTTGTTATCTTTTATATAAGCAAGGGGTTTGTGAAATTAAATTATTAATCACAGGGGTGAGAATGTAATTTCCAAAACGTCAGGGAGTGGGTAGTAATTGGGTCAAAACTCAAGGGGTGTCAATATAATTTACCCATTATTATTATATATAGGGCAAATTACTTACACCTCCCTTGAGATTTAGTTAAATTACAGATTCTCCCTTGATGTTTCAAAAATTATATCTCGCCCCATTGCAATTAATATCGTTGACGAAGATAGTAAATCGACTAAAATGCGCCTAACTGTGTTATGTAGAAAAATGATGATATTTGACAGATACATCATACCAAGTAAATCAATAGTTGTTCAATACTTGTTTTAGAAAAAATTTTAAAAAAATTAAAAATTGATTTGGTTAAAAAATAAAAATAATAATAAATAATTATCATTTTACATATTTTATTTTGAGATGTTAGAAATAATTTTTACAAATTACATATATTTTTATTAAATTAGTTTCCATTTCTTAAAAAAAGTATTGTGAATTTTTTTTTTTTAAAAAAACAAATCAAACATGTTTCAAAAATCTTAGGTAGCGTTTGGTTTAGAACTCAAATAATGATTTGAATCAAAAAAATTTAAAATTTATAACCGAACTCTTTTCAATACTCTTTATAGAACTCTATTTAAAAATAAATAAATTCAAAAAAATGTTTTTTTATTTTGTTCTTTAAATTATTTTTTATTTAATATTTTTTGCAAAAAATATTTTTTTTATTTTTATTTTAGAAGAAAAATATTTTTTATTTTTGGGGGATGCACTAATAAATCCCAAATTTATATCTTGTAAACCATTTGGTCCTATGAATTTTCTTATGAACCATTAGGTCCTATCCCAATGTTAATGACCATTGAACATCATCGACATCAACAACAACTTCAACCTCATCAAACATCAGATCTCATACACTACAATTCACAGATCTCATAGTTGATGTTGCTCCATTACCCACCATTGAACAACATCATCAACATCCAAATCGATCTCTCTCAATTTTGAAACCCTAGTTTTCTTTCTCTAGACTCTCTAATGGCACCCAAAGCAGCAGCAGAGAAGAAGCCAGCGGAGGAGAAGAAGTCCACGGTGGCGGAGAAGGCTCTGGCGAAGAAGAAGCCGAAGGCCTACAACACATTTTATGGGTAAAAAGAGAGAAGGTCATCGCCATGTAGAGGGTGGATTCAGTGCTGCTGGAAAGGATTCATCGCAGTTGGGGATGGTGGAATGATGTTGTTCTGATGATGATGTTGTGATGTAAAAAAAGGACTAAATGGTGCATAAGAAAACTTTTAGGACTAAATGGTTCAACTTTTTCGAAAATAGGATTTATGGGTAAATTTTCCTTTATTTTTTTATTTTATCAAAAAAAATATTTTATTATTTTTTAAATATTGGCCAAATATTTGTTATGATTTAGATATATATAAGCGATCTAAAATTTTTTAAGATTTAAAATTTTTTTAAAAAATATTCAAAAAAAATACAGTGCACAAATATAGTAATTACAGTGCACGTTAAAAAAAATAAATATTTACAATAGAAAATAATTATCCTAAAAAAATAAAATTAAGAAACTTTTTAAATATTAAAAAATATAACCTAAAAAATTTTAAAATACAATTCAAAACTCAAAAACTCAAAACCAAATAATTTCTCTCTTTTCAAAACTCAAATAATGATTCAGAAAACTAAACCAAATGGAGCCTTAATTTCTTTTTAATCTAACATAATTCTTTTGTAAATTTTGTTCGCTTATTATCATAGGAATTTTAGGTTAAATTAGGTTGTTCATTGCTTTAGAAAGGTACCAGGGACAATATCGTCTGTCAAGAATAATTCCTAACGTTTACTTAATGGTAGGGGGTAAATTGTTATGCAAACACAAATCTCGAGGGACGGGATGTAATTTTTGAAATCTCAAAAGGGAATCTGTAATTTAACTAAACCTCAAAAGCTGTAGGTAATCTACCCTTTTATATAAAAAGTAAGGGTTTTAGCAAAACTAATCCAAAACTAAAAATTCTTTAAAACCCTTTAGTTTTGGCTCTTTATACTGATAACTTTTAGTAATATAATGTTAATCAACTTGAATTACTCCAATGTCGTGTTACCAGACAAACTAAATTTTTTCCAACCATTTCTTGTCGTTTGATTAAGAGATTTTACTTTATTTTAACAAGAAATTAGTTGGAAACTATTTGTGAAGTGCCTGTTTAGTGATATATTACTATACAAATTTGATTATTCCAGTATCATGTTGCCGAACTAAAATAAATTTGTCCAGCCACATGTCGCTTTACATGCATTGTAGATTGTCTTCATTGTTGTCGTATTAAATTCATTTCAATATAATCAATATCTCTTTTGGTCGCACCATACTCTTGACATGTAAACTAATAAGGAAGTTTCCAGAAGCTTCTCTATGTGCACACACTTAATAAATTTTTCTTTTATTACAATTTTGTCCTAAAATAGAACTACCAAATACCCTTGTTTTCTCTTCCAAACCCTAATCCTTTAACCTTTGGCCTCCACCATTGCTGTCATTGTCGGTCTTCTTCCACGACCACCTCAACCATTCTCCCATCCTTGCCTTCTGTCATCATCCCTTCCCACATCTTCACCAATTGCTGTAGCCCCCTCCATCATCTACAAGAATCCCAATATCTTCTCTGCAATGTTCATCGGCGACATGTATGATTAAAGATATAAAGAGAAGGGAACCATATCGAGAGGAAGAGGAATTGGTAGGGTATTTCAAGAAAAGTTTGTGGTGGAAGGTGGTTCGTGGATGAGAAGTTTGTGACGACAATTTGTGATGCAGGCTAGTTTATAGATAAGGGGTTCTTGACAATGGAGATTTTAAGGTACTACAGTGGAGAAGATTTCGTGGTGGAAGTGGTTCACAATGGTGAGAAGGTTCACGAAGGGGGGGCTCACGATGGTAACAAGGGGGATTCACAGTGGTTCATGATGGCGACGGTGGTCAAGGTGGAGATGGGTGGTGGTTAAGGTTAGGGTTAGGATAAAGGTTTGAAAGATAAATAAGATTAGGGTATTTTTGGTATAATAGGTTGTGTACTAAGTAAAATATAATTTTTCAAATTCATTAAATGTGCGGCTTGAGAAAAGATATTCACAAAGAAGAATTGGTATGTAGAAATAGAATTTCTCGATGTTTCCTCCTCATATAATCTACCAGCAAATGAGTGCCCTTCAAAACGTTCAAAAACTGGATGATTGTACTTGCATTGTTGCAATGAATAGAAGCATAATCCTTCCAAGCAAAAAAACGAGAAATATTTTTTTAAAAAAATAAAATTGGAAATGCACAGTAATAAGTAACTGAACAAATGAAAAACGTTCGGTCTTGGGTTATTGGACGTGTTTCTTTTATTCGACAGTGGGTTACCAGACATATATTTTTTTGTTCGACAATGTGATTCTGAATTATTTTATTTTGTTCGATTTTGACACACCGAACAAAAGTAAAAAAAACTCTCAAAAAACAAAACAAAAACCTATCAAACAAATAAAAAAAACTCACAATTTTACTTTTTTGATGGTTCTTCACCACTATTTCTTCCTCCATTGATTTTTTTTTTATGATCAAAACACTATAATTCTCACATTTAAAATATATATATATATAGCAGAGAAGAAAAATTGGGAAGAGAAGAAGAGTAGTAGAGATTGAAGAGCAATGGGTATAAGGAGATAATATTTGATTTTAATCTTTTGTCCTTACAAGTTATTTCAAACATGGGTAAAATTGAAAAAAAAAAAAAATCTGATATAGAGGGTGTAAAAAGATAAATTAATGGTATAAATAGAATCACTATTTGAAAATAGAAAAAAAATAAAAAAAAATATTTAACTTATATTTTATTCACACTTTTTATTTTTTATTTTTTAATTTTTAATTCTTATTTTAATTTATGATCAGTCAAAGTTTTAATGATTTGATTAGTTGGTGAAATGTCACCTTTTAGTATTATGCTACATCTGGAGGATTTGGTATTATTCTATATTTGGATGACAAATCTTGAAGGGAATAATCAAGAATTTGGTATTAAAATTTTAAATATCATGGTATTTGGATGACAAATCTTGAAGGGAATAATCAAGAATTTGGTATTAAAATTTTAAATATCATGGGTTAAAATTTTATTTCATTTACCCTTTTTTCTCCCATAAATCTCTACTCAAAATTTTAATCCAAAAACAAATTTGAGAATGGAAAGACAAGTAAAGAGCATTGGAGCCTTGAGGATCAATTATTTTCACTGACATTGCTTGTCCAAGCCCTACTTTTCTTTTCTCTTTTGTTTTCTCCTTTTAATTGTTTTATAACTTTCCTAAAAAATAATAATAATAAAATTAACAGAACCAACAAGTTATTATTCAGTACAAAAAATTGAAGCACATAAATATATTCAGATTCAATTATTTTATGATGAAACTCACGTCTTAAATAAATTTAGACCACGCATTAAATCTTTTAAATATTTTTCTATGTCATGAATATGTGTTGCACACTGTTACCCTGTGGCCACAAGTCATATGGAAAGATTATTTTCAATATTAGTTTTTTTTTTTCAATATTTAAAAAACAGAAATAATGAAATTTTTTAGAACACATCGTTTTATTCTTGTAAAAAACAAGTTTTGAAATTTCA